CTTCCAGAAGGGATAGTCCTTCCCATCGAAGATGGGGATCTTGAGGTGCGACTTGTAACTCACTAAAGACATACTTGAAGTCTAAGGTTGTTAGACCAAAATGAGTAGAATCAAGGAGTACCTTTCTCTGATACTAATTGTAGGAACGAAGTATGTCTACCAGAGGGGGTGAATGGGAGTTTTAAAATTTCTTTTGGAAACTTCAAAACTCTCAGACCTAGCAGTGGACCGAGTGTAAACAGGTTTCAGTGAGTGAATTTAAACTATCAAACAAGAACTAAACGCATACATCGAAGGTAATCACATGGTTGAATCCAGTCATGCAATCCAAATTGAATGAAAAGCGGCGAAGGAATAACTGGTGATGTTCGATGGCGACAGATAATTTGGTAGACTGGTTCTCCCTTCTGCACAAGGAATACGTCTGGTTGGAGGGTTGTGATTTACTCCCTCCGTCCCACAATATAAGAACGTTTTTAACACTACACTAGTGTCAAAACGTTCTTATATTTTGGGACAGAGGGAGTAACATAGAAGATAAACTCTCTTCGCCCTATTCTCCTTGGCAATTGGTTCGTCAACCAATACCGATCACTCATGGTAGATACTTGAGGTGATCTCCGAACCTTTACAGGCTTCTTCATCGAGAATGACGAATACTCTTGGTTTCTGAATAAATTGACACCTAATAGTCTATAGAGTTTGCAGCTCCCAAGAGTAATAGGAGGAGCGTACTAGATTTAGATTCGGGTGATGCTAAAACACTCTCTAATTTTTTGGCTCTGGGATTTTCTCTCGGTGGATTTTGAACTCAAATCACTTTGGAGAGAGAGTTTCTTAACTAACAACTCAGAATCACAAGGGGCGCCCACTGGACAAAGCCGGTGCGGGGTGGCTATTTATAGCCGCAACCTTCCCTTATGGGAAATGACCATTTTGGACACGCGGTCCAGCCAATGGCCAACCGACATGTTCTCAACGGTCATATTTGAAAGCAACGATAACATTACTTGAGGAACAAGTAATGCTAACTCTTCGTTCGGAGATAAATCTTTCGCAGCGAAGAAAATCACAGTCTCTTGCTCGCAAGTATTTGCTCAGAACACAAAGAGATTTCTCTCTCAACTTTCATAGGATTGGGTTTAGCATCAGAGAATCAAATTTTCGAACAATGCACCCCTCTTAATAGTACAGTGGTCATATGACTCAATAAAGAGAAAGAAGAAGAACGAAATAAATTATACTTCTTCAATTCGTCTTCAACTTCTCTTGCCTGTAGTCAATTCCTACGGATGCCACCGAACCAATTGCTTCACGTCAACAATTTTATGGGTCACTCTCGATAACATAATCTTTATTGATAATACTCACTACCATGCATGATATTATCTTTGGAGTTTATACCAAACTCCTCATTACTTCAGGAACCTGTTACTCTGTGTGCACTAGCAAACACATTAGCCCCTTACTGTTTATGTAGACAATCTTCAAAACATAAGGAGGCAAATCATTGCACCAACAGTTGGCATTTTGGGGCTCGTCTATTTGAGAGCACCAATGCTCGAGACACTCAACGGCTTTTGGAGATGAACAAAGCATGTGGGTTTCCAGGTATGTTCAACTCAATTAATTGCATGCATTGAAAGCGGAAGAACTGCCTGCGGATGACATGGGCCATGAAAGCCATGTGAAGAATGCCACTATCATTCTTGAAGTCGTAGCCGATCAGGAGACATGGTTTTAGCATGCCTCGATCTTACAATGACATCAATGTGCTTCACCGATCACCACTCTTTGCACAGTTAGCCAATGAGGAAGCACCATTGGTGGAGTTTCAAGCAAACGGTCGCACATACAACATGGGCTACTACCTAGCGGATGGGATTTATCCAGAGTGGGCAACATTTGTGAGCCAATTTCAAGCCCTCGAGGTAAGAAAGAACTTCACTTTCATAATGCTCAAGCAGCTGCTATAAAGGATGTGAGGACCGGCTAGGTTTTGGGATTAACAATTTTTCTCGTACATAATGAATGTTGTCGTGATCTTGCACAACATGATAATTGTGAATGATCATTGTCAAGAGTTTGATTTCTCATTGTATGAATTCATGGGAAAGCAGGTAAGAAAGAACTTCACTTTCATAATATTAGAAGGGAAACCACCGCTTTCTTCAAGTTCACCATCAAATTCTACATGTGGATACTCACGCAGATCTTCAAAGAGATCTCATGGAGTGGCGGACGTGGAATGGGAAACAAGGCTACCTCTATGTTTCATATCATTTATGATAAACTTTGTGTTATGTGTGATGAATAACTGTGTTGAATTTGAGCTTGTGGATTCATGAACTATGTAATAATTTAGTACTATTTGTGCTTTATTTGCTTCCGATATATTGACTCGAGTTTTAATTATCATATCATTTTTTGTTCAATATGTATGCTGTGGAATAAAGATGAGAAGGGGGAAAAATTGGGCACCACTTTTACATCATCTGCAAGAGCAACATCAGCCGTGGTGCCAAAGACCTTCTCTCCCCTACCCTAATTGGACATGCTCTTACGCCCACTAACCCAGACCATGAACAATTTAAGAGATGACTCACAACATTATTTCACCTAGTCTCCTAGCCATAGATTCCATTAAGAACAGATGAACAAATAGAGCTCATTGGCATGATACTTCTTGCGGAGAACCCTAACTTTCTCTAGGGACTCACTAGACCGTGACACATGTGCTATCCCCACCTTGGATGCCTTACAACCTCAGTTCATCTTAGAGCTTGTTGCGCTCACTGCCTCCTTACTTATTCGGCCTCCACATCAAGGAGCCAAGAGCCAGCGAATCCAGTCCAAGAGACTAGGAGGGTCGCTGTGTAGAATTTTTTGGGGGGAGGTTTACATTCCCCGCCCTTAGAGCAACTCTAGCAGACCCCGCATCCTGCCCCGACCCACAAAATAACCGTCAAAATGCAGGCCGGGGCGGAAAAACCAGCCCGATCAGACCCTGCATTCCGTCCCGGCCCGCAAAAAATTTTAGGGGGCGCGGCAAAATCCCGACCCCAACCCCGAAAAACGCAGGTTTCCCCCTCGCGGCTGCGGTGCCCTGCATATAAGCGAAAGCGGTTGGTGGGGGGACATTTCATCCCGCGCTTTCTCCCACCAACCACCTCTCCTCTCCCCCCGCGCGCCGCCGCTGGCCGCCGCCCAAGATTCCGGCGACAACAGCCGGCAGGAGCACGCCGGAAGGCCGCCACGCGCACGAGGCCTCCCCTCCCTTCCCCCTGCGTCGGCGGGCCACCGGATTTGCAGATCTGTGGCACTTCATCGCGGGCCGCTGGATTTGCCTTTTTCCGGCCGTCGGTTGCTGCCCCAGGCAATGGAGTGGTCGGGGAGCCTCTCCCGCAACCCAGGCAAGGGCGCATGGCCGCATGCAGGAACGGGTTCATCCGCCCGCCGCCGCCGAAGGTTTGCGGGCATGGACTTGTCCGGTCGTCCACCGGGCTGGGCGCTCGCGCAACGTCTTTGTGGTCCGCCGATGCCGCTCATAGAGTGCGACGACTGCCCGCGCCAAGTGTTGCGGCTCACTTCGGGCACGCCGAAGCACCCCGGATGGGTGTTCTACAAATGCGAAAACTACGGGGTACGTGCACTTGCGGTACCCGTTCCATAGCTCATTCTTTAGTTCAATTGCGGTAGCTCACTTCGAGCTTGCTCAATGTTTTGTGTAGGACGATGGATGCTCATTTTGGTTTTGGGAAGGCCAATACATTGATTTGATGATAGAAAGAAACTTAATAGATATTAGTGCACTCCTTAGTACAATCGAAGGCAATGATGCGGCGGCAGGTGCAACTAGAGGGGAAGCAACGTCTACTTCTTTGAAACCAAAGATGAAGAATGAAGAAAGCAAGATCAAGAATCCGCAGATCAACAATGAGTGCATGGAGAAGATATTGCTTCAACTAGTGGGAGCAGTTATAGAAGTTGGAAATCTTCTGAAATGCATACTTGTGGTTCTTGTTTTTTTTTGGTTTTGCTATTCTAGCCAAGATTTGATGATATATTTTGTATCTAATGTTATTGCAAAAGCGAAGAAAAGCATTATGCTAGATCAATTTAAGTTGCAAATCTAAGTTTTGCGGGCCGAGAGGAGTTGCGCCAGATCAGAACCCGCAGAAGCCGACCCGTAAAAAAGCATATTCCGCAAATATGTTTTTTTACAGATCCATTATACGGGGTCTGCATCTGTGCCAGCCCGCGCCGGCCCGCAAAAGCGGTTTTGCGCGAACAACAAACGCATTTTGCGGCCGGCGGGATGCGGGGTCTGTTAGAGTTGCTCTTAGTTAGTGCCCACCCAATGGTTCTTTCCTTAGTTTTTGGATCTTGAAAAAAACTATAATGTTAGGTGTTTTCCTTAGTTTTCGGATGTTCTCAATTTTTTCCTACAACTTTAGGTGGTCATAAGGTTTTTCCCTTTCGTCCTTTTTTCAGTGACAGCAGCACTTTCGACACTATTTTGCACTGTGGCACATCTTTTTACTTGGGTGGTGGTGAAGTTCAAAAAAATAATTTACTTAGGTGGCGGTGCATGACACTTGCACTACAAAGAGTGGTAAGAAAACAAGGAAAAAGGCTGCACACAACCTTCTGGTTTTTTAGACAATCTTTTTAAATAAGTTCAAAGCGCCACCTTAACATGATTGGTCCATTACCAATTTACCATCACAATCAACCAAGTACACAAACGAGATGTTCCACAGATTGGCGGGGAACTTATGGCGGTGTAACATATGCACAGATGAATGACACACCCTGCACACACTAGCCACTACTCACTACTAGCCCCATGAAATGTTCTAACCTCAAGCCTGTTCACAGCTACTATAGGTACAAACAATAACAGCCACTACATAATTTCAATCGGAGCAGAGAATCAGATCACGACGCCATCTCAGTCATGGATCGAGAAATTGAAATGATCGGAGAATGAGGTCGATTCAGCAGCGGAAGCGGATGACGATGCAGGAGATGTCGTCCTTGCTCTTCCTCGCGAGCGCCTCGGTCGTCAGCCGCTTTGCTGCTGCCTGGGGGTCCTTTGTCGACTTCACGAGGTCCACAGCTTCCTGGTTCTTCATCACCTGGATTAATTCAGCAAAGAGGTGCAGGTTTAGGAACTGGTTTGTGAACATAACAGAGCTGCTAAATACAGATGAATCACCCTGGAAGCAGATCATGCACTTATTATAAGATAGATGATAAGCAAGAAACTAGAAGATGTAGAACCCCAACCAAATGATGATTTTTTTTTCAGAGAGCATGGCGAAAAGAAAAAATACAAGGACTGATGAAGCAACATGAAAAGAGGTGTAACAGTCATGATGTGGATGCCCAAATATATTTCACATGATCATAGAAACTAACGATCCGAAGCATGAGAACAAATTAGATAATGTAAGAAAATGTAGATGAGCAGTTATAGTACAAACCTTCCATAATCCATCGCTGGCAAGTATGACGAACTCTATACTTGAGTTTATGGGTACATGCCTAATGTCAGGTTCCGAACTCAAGTGCGTCTTGAGGCTATGGTCACCGAACGCCCTTGCGACAGCGAGTTGGCCATTTACGCGAGGGACATCGCCTGTCAGCAAGTCAAAGAGTACAATTATACCCTGTTTGACTAGGAACAATAATGAGATACAGAAAAGAAAAACAGAACAATGATGAGACAGTTACACGATAGAAATCATACCAGGAAATGTTGTGACAAAGCCACCCTGCTGTTCAATCCTCTGCCTTTCATTGGATATATGGGGTTCATGGTCCACGGTGATCTGATTAGCAGCACCCCGTTCACATAAAACGGCCCTCGAGTCGCCTACGTTTGCTATCCACATATCCTTGCCATCAACTACAATAGCAGTAACTGCTGTTGAACCGCCTGGCCCAAGTTGCTTGGCATTTTCCAGAATATATTTGTTTGTAGAGCCATATGCATTTTTAATCGCTTCCTGAGGGTCAGTCCAGAAGAGAGGCTGCGCCAATACCAAAAGGGAAACGGTAAGCGAAAGACATGTTCACAATGCAAAATAAGAAATTAAAAAGGGTCTAATATTTATATGAAATCAACAGTGATGCATACTTCTGATATTGCAGGAACTGAGTAGAAAGCCAAAACCAAGAGGAAAATACCTCTTTGAGTATGTTGGAGAAAAGGTTAGCTCTCAAGTAACTGGGCACACGGTCCCCCAGATGGCCGTCGAAAATGGCAAAGAGGCCAAGCTCATGGTTCTTATCGCACTTGTACTCTGCTACATGGTAGTCCTCCATGTCATGGCCAGATTTCCCTTCAACCAGGTGGAATCCGTGTGTCACCTTGGTGCTTGATTGCTTACTCCGCCCCTTGCCAGTATCAGTAGATGATGAATTCAGACATGCTGCACTCTGGCATACAGAGATCAGAGAAAGCAAAACATAATGTCAGCATAGAGGCCTCGTGATCATATTAATATTCAGACTGACCAAAAACAGGACCAACAAAAGGAAAATGGTAATAACATAAAAGAGCATGCCAAAACTGGTGTTTTACTACTGATCTCTGTATATACAATCTGTGCTGCCAAAAATGGTAATAACATAACATAAAAGAGTATACATATTCTGTGCTGGCAGCATATCAGATCGAGACTCGAGATACTTTTCGTCGTTTCCGGAATAATGTTAAGAAACAATATGTTCAGTGCAGGAACAGCAAAAAAAAAAGCAAGAAAAATGTCACAGATCCCAAACCTTTGAAAAACGTCCCCTATCTGAAAAACGCAATAGATTCACAAGCAACAGAGTTCCATGCCCATCAAGCGGGCTCGTAAAGTCCAAACGGTAACTAGTGAGATTTTCAGTAATCTAACAAACTGACCCCGTTTTTTGGGGAGAACAAGCTGACCATTTTAAGAGTTCAAAACTTACCCCTTGCTCTGTCGGATTATTTTATACACAGATCGACACAATAAACCAGCAATTTTGAAACAAATATAGAGCACGAATCCTTCATAGGTCCTATCCGTATTATATAACCAAATCGAAGGTAGCAGCGCGTGATTCCTTGCGGGTTTTGCTTAAGGCTAGTGGAGGAGTAGTGGCTAGACTAGACTAGACTGGAAGGAGTAGTAGACGCGGTGCAAGGAAAGGAAGGGTCCAAAAGGTGGACAGGTTGCTTACGGCTGGCATGACTTGCGTGCGTGCCGCACCCGCACCAGGTCAAAAAGTGGGAGCGATGCTCCCAAAGTCCAACTTGGCTTGGAACTTGCCAATCCAACTAAGGCTTTCAAATTATTTTTCTTTTCCTTTTTCTTTTTAATTTGAGAAACCGAAGCTTTCAAATCCTGTGACTCCAAGTTACACCAGTTGCAACTCTTTCTTGCCCCCTTTTTACCAAATTTAATTTAACCGCCGCCAAGAAGTTAAAAAGAAACTCCTAACCAACAAGAAAAGCAAATCATTGTGGTACTAATCGCTCGAAAACTCCTCTGATTGTAATAGATAACGATTTCTGGCAGCGAAATCGGATGAATTTTTACGAGTTCACAGGCAGATCAACCAAACCAAACCTCTCCTCCGTGTTCAATCAAACACCCCCAAAACATCAAAACAGTAGCGGTATGTATATATATAACTATACGCGTTGAAGGAGGAACTTTTGTTAGTAATCGCCGAGAGAGGAGGAAGCGATTAAGCCCCGGCAGGGCGGGGCGGATGGTTACCCGGATCATGTTGAGTATGTCGGGCCGCTTCCGTCCGCCGCATGACGAGGAAGAGGATGAGGAGGCGGCGGAGGGGGAGCAGGACGCGGAGGACGTCGACACCGTCTGCCGCTCCATCCGGCCGACCATACGCCAAGAAGAACGAGCAACCGCCGCCGGCCCGCGCCCCGCAGGCCACAGCCACAACGCGGAGAGAAAGAGAGAGAGGAGAAAGGGAGAAACTTGGTCGAGAAGACGAGACGAGACGAGGCAGCGGCACACGGGTTGGGGTGGGAATGGGGGAGAAAGATGGAGAGATCTTTTGGGTTTTATTGTGGACTCCGCTGGGCTGGTGGCGATGTGTGTGTGACGACGGGGTTGGCGTCTCGCGGGACGATTCCGTGGCCGGACGACACTTGTGGTGGGAAGGCGAAGACCGGGAAAAGCTTTGCGGGAGCGGAGTCGTTGGTCGATGATTGTAGCATTTGTGGTGGGTGCCACTACAAGAGGATGAGGAGGAGGTGGGGGGAAATCGGCGGATCAACCGGCAATGGCAATGGACGGCCGGCGAGGTATATATATAGGCACGCCATGTGGACTGGTTTTTCTTCCACGGCCGGTTTCTCCTCATGCTCCGGTTCATTGCGCCCCGGGCCGGCATCGGTTTTGCCTCTCCTACGGTACATGGTCGAGGAGGCGGACCTCATCTCCTCCCTACCATTTTCTTTCCTTCTTTGGGACGGGCGGCATATGGACGTCAAAGAGGTGATTGCCGGAGGTGCCGAGCGGTACGCCGCCGATCTCTCCCCCTCGTAGGCACATATGTTCTTCTTTTTTTTCCCTACTAAATCTTGAAGAACAGGGTTAGATGGTAAGTTTCTGTATCTGTGTCCGTGAATGGATAGTGTGTCTGATTTGCGTTTCGCCGTTGGATATGCCCTTAGGACGCATCTCCCACAACGTTAGTGCTGGTAGGACCATGTTGAATATTTAGATGAAACCCCAAGTGCAAGTATATGGTTGCAAGTTAAGACCTTAGCCCTGGCCATTTTCCTATCACTTTTTTTCTCTTTAAAAACTGTGCAACTTTGATTCGGAAAACTGGAACTCTTTACGACGACAAAGCTTAGCAAGAATCACCTTTAAATTAGCATCCTTCATGTGGGCTTGATACCCTTGGTCACCTATGGGGAAAAGGCAGGGACTATCTACATTTGAAACCGGATGAAAGGTAATCAAGTGTGCACTTCTATTTAAAGTGGATGGCGCGAATTAACCAACTAGACATACCAGAGGACGAGTCCGGCATGCGGTTGAATAGGTGGGAAAACAAGTGGTTGAAGAACAAATAGTCGACGTGGCACGCCACGTGTGCCTAGAACATGCACATGAATAAAAGAGGGTAAATGTGATACAAAGTTTTATTAAAATGGATTAAAACTCCTTAAATCCCTATAAAATGCTAAAAGCTGGGTAAAATGGAATTAGCACTTTTCCTTTAAGAAATATTGGATGTGGTGTACAACATGACATGTGCACACTTATGTAGCTCTGACTGGCATCTGGAGCCACCATTTAGCTTTTTATTGACATAAACACCATCACTCACTTAAGAATCCACCTTGAGTAAATCGAAATATGCATGACGTCAAATTTAATGTTTGGCATTCCCTTAGAAACCGTTATTCGACACACTTATGTGTTTTTCACCTGGGTCGGTAAGTTTTAGGACTCTATTTTGGGAGAGAATTCCTTATTTGACACTCCCTTAAAATCATGTTCCTTATTTGACACTGAAAAAATTTTCTTCCCTATATGACCTATAGTCTTAATTTCTTTCCCTATATGACACTCTAGTTCATTTTGTACACGTGAAAAGACCTTTTTGCCCCTGTACATAATGTGACCAGAAATATGTAGCATTGAGCCTAAGTAGGAAAATTCGTTTATGAGAGTGAGCACAGCTGAACATGTTATCTCCTGCGTTGGTCTTTTTTGGGATGTGTGTGTATTCTGTATACCTGAGCGCATGCATCCAATGTATTTAGAACGTATTCAGCTGTGGGTCTAGTTTCATGCGGTATGGTTTGTGAGTGCGACTGTTTGACGTACTTTTGTACGTGTGCTTTAACACTAAAATGCATTCTTAAAAATGAATGAATTTTTTTAAGCACTTTTGTGTGTGCTTCGGTGATCACCTACGTGCATGCCATTAGTGCATGTGCACGTATTTGCATGGCCCATGCAGGACCTATAGCTGTATGGAAGGAAGTTGCGTGTTAGCACGAACGTACGCCCGGTTCGGTGCAGCCAACATGCGTATGTATATGAACCGGGTCATACGAAGCTAGAATACATGTATTCGCTTGATCGTCAGGGTGCGCGTACGTATTTAAATATCTACGCTCTGGCAGGTAAGCTGGCCGCGTATATGTACACAAATACGTATAGACAACTAGCCAGACCGGTCAATTAGCACATGAACCATCGAAGGCCTCGGTCATGATTTCTTGTATCGGCTGGAGATTTCTAAAGAGCGAGAGACAAAGGCTCTGTTTGCTTCAATTTTTTTTTGAATTTCGTTCGCTTCAATTTGTATCGATGGATTCCGCTGCTGCACAGGGCCAAAGATTTAAACAACCTTCAAGGGGTTGAGGTAGGGACGCGTTTATCTTAAACAACGTTACATCCATATCGCTCCATAAAAATCGGAACGGCAATGGCCAGCGCCGGACCTTCTCCAGCTGCCTATAAATACCGAGGCACAACGCACACACAAAAGGAGGCAACGCACGGCGCACCCACGGGGAGCCACCAAAAGATCCATCCATCATCCATCCATAGCACGCCTCAAGCATCACGCATCAGCCAGGAGATCGACGCGAGCTCGGCTGTCTTCTGGAGTAGATGGCCGGGAGGGAGGTAGCATAGCCGGCTCCGGCCGTGTTGCGGTTGCTGTCCAGCCGGCTGACTCTGTCCGCCCACTCCGCCGCTTATCCAGAGGAAAATTCCTAAACGTAGTAGACTTTACCTGATTTTTTACCGGCCGGCCTAATTCAACAGACTTTTCGAAAGCATATTTGTGGTCACATTATACATATGGGTAAAATGGTCTTTTCACGTGAACAAAATGCACTAGAGTGTCATATAGGGAAAAAAATTAAGACTAGAGATCATATAGGGAAGAAAATTTTCTTCAGTGTCAAATAAGGAACACAATTTTAAGAGAGTGTCAAATAAGGAATTCTCTCCTATTTTGGGGGCGAAGAACGAACATCAGGGTCTTACTATGATTTAGGTTGAGAACAATGTTCTTTCTTACTAAAGCCATGGTTAATCATTTTTCAATGTTAGAAAAATTTGGACTACGAGTTTTAGGTGCTCATGATTCCATTTTTAGCCAAAAATGGTATTTTTGGTGGAATTTCAATCTGGAGACTATGTGTTTGTGTATGATTTCCATAAAATTGTCTCGGTGATAGAGGAATTGGAGGAGCTATATGCAACCCCTAAAGCATGAATGAAGGTGCGTGAAGAAAACTTAGAGCTGATCCTCGAATGAATGATAAAAGAGGTAATGGAGGAGGCCAAAAGAGGCAATAAAGAAGGTATTGTGAATGTAATCTTCGACGTTTCTGCTTCCCTGGGTGTAGCAGGTCTACATCTACATTGCCTCTCCCTTCAGCTTCCGCTCCATCGACTACTTCATCCTCATCAACCTCTACATGTGTTGCTACTCTTCCTCGGTGAATTATCATTGCACTTCTAGGAAAATGCTTATAGTGGGGGTCACATTAGTAGCGAGCAGGCTTGAGACCCAGCAATTGGTATTTTGGGCAGATACCAGTGGCGGGTAGGAAATTATGACCATCATTGGTGTGTACATATCAGTGGCGGGACCAAAATTGCACCCTCCGCTGGTAAATTCTTAGAAAAATAGCCATGGGATAAATGCACCAGTGACGGGCGCTCCTAGGTCGCCCGCCACTCGTTTACTAGATACCAGTGGTGGGCACCTATCACTAAAAATGGATATGGACGAAACTCCTCAGGATGAACCTGAAAAGGTTTAGGAGGTCACCAGGAGCCCTACGCGCCCCCATAGACGCACTAGGATGGAGGCACCTAGGCCCCCAGGGCCCACCTGGGTGCCTCATTATGGCTCTTGGTTTTTTCTAGTCAAAATCTTTGGGAACTTACTTTATTTTATTTTGGGGGGCTATGGAGTGCACTTTCTTCATGAAGGTCCATATTCCAACCTAATAGCATCTCCAGGAATTAATTCTTCAATTAATTGCATTTTAAAATAAATCACAATTAAATTGATGCAAATATGGTTCAAAAGGCATAAAAGTATAATAGTTATACTACAAATTTTTGATGAAAATGCAAGTATCACCTAGCCTAAAAGGTTCATCGTCAACGAATCAGCAAAACTTGAGCTTAACCCTAGACCAAATGGGGCATCCCATATGGTGCTCATATATTGTTGAAAAATATAAATAATACAACTCATTTGGTTGTTGATAAAAAATAAGAGCAAACATAGGAAATAGTACCAAATGCTCATATTTCAGGCAACAATAACTGGAAGTTCACTAAAAAATTAACTGATATTTGAATAAAGATTCAATACATCATCAGTGCATCATTACGGCATCATAAACTGTCATGCATTTCGGACAACATTAACCCATAGTGCACTGAATATTCATTACATCATTACAACAACAATCTGGAAATTTGACTACCATAGAATTACTACAAGATGGCAGCTCTACCGAAGCCTCACTTATCACCCCATATCTCTCCCATCTTCCTGATATTTCCCTTATTCTCCCTTTTCTTTTGGAAGATCTGTAATTACATACTCAAGTTTCTTCTCCTCCTCCTTCAACTCATCCATCTCCTTTTTTGCCTTAATCCTCATAATCATGTGTATTTCAATGGTTGAATTGCTAGCCAACTTCTTTTCCTCGAGCTCCTCCTTCACCACAAAAAAGGATTTTTTTATGCCAGGGCTCTCAGTCCTACTGCTTGCCATTTGTCAGCCACAACTTTGGAGAAATCAGTTTTGAACTTACTTAGTTCAGCCTCTAGTTTCCTCTCCTATCCTATTATCTTATAGTTTTGTTCAT